ACTGCTAATTCATTAAACACTCACATGTTTATACACACCCAGGGACAGACACTGACAGTAGCATACTATACAGTATACAAGCCCCATGGCCAAATCCATTGTAGCCAAGGACCTGAAACAATCAATTAGGCTTTGTGTCAGCAGCACAGCATTTTTAAAGCTACTAATGGCTTTCCGCAAAGCATTTGCGCTCACAGACACAAGAGTACACAGTAAGCCAAGGAGAAAAATCACTGGTGCAATAGTGGGGAGATGTGTCAGCAGAGCAGCATCTCCAAATGAACAGGCACAGCAATGTCTGGATGAGCTGACTTTAACCAATGGAGGCTAACTGGCCTGTTGGAGAATATAGTTATGAGCCTAGGAGACACTGAATGTTATTAACAAAGGAACTGTTACCAGACTTTACAATGTTATCTATCCAGTCTTTTGGTTGAGGAGCTTAAAATCTCTTTTTGAGATGTGAAATACCTTGTAGTTCCTTGTGGACTGACTCACTTTAACTCATTCATTTATTTGTTCAGCCATTGTCTTCTCTGATCTGTACCTTGAGCCTTTCTGGAAACATACCATCACTCTAAGAGGGTGTTCACACATAGGCCAGTCAGAGAGGTTTTTTCCAACATAATTTTCCAAGGGGTTTTGTGTTTGGTTGTCTAGTTTGAGAGCGCCAAGCCACAATGTTCGCTCATGCAAATGGGTCCCTTGTGAAAAATGAGATTGAGAACAACACAAAATGTGTCCTGAAATCCTTGATCCGGATCAGATCCAGATAATCTTTTAGGGTGTGACAGGCATCTTACCTGAACATTTCAGGGTTCTGTCTTCATTACAGGCCACGTTATGGCAGGAGATATGCGTTAAATGGGGTTTTCAATGTTAACTTTAAATGGCAGTCAGATCAAGAATCTGGATCAGACCCGGATGAAATTCGGTCTGGTGATGGACGTTGCCACCCTACATGTGTGTCAAGTTTCAAACAAAGAATTATTTAGACAACTTTTGATGGAGATATGATTTCATAAAAATTTTGGCCCCAGGTTAAAAATAAGGATTTTGTGATTTTATCTATTTTTTGTGACCTTAACCTTTTCCATCCAATATCTAATCACTTCTAAGGTTGGTCCCCACCAATGTCTGTAGAAAGTATGATGATGATCCATGTAGCTGTTTGTCCGTAATCCTGCTCACCAACACACACACACAGAACCAAAAACATAATCTCCTTGGTGGAGGTAAAACACCTTTCATCACACTCATTGTTGCATGAGCACAAATACATGCACTGTGAATACTGTATAAAACATTCATCAGGTTAAAGCCATCAATGTTATGATCTTTGCTCCATGGATATAAACCACACAGCCAAACTGGTTTAATATTTTAACAACATTAAAATGCCAAGACAGAGTTGGTACTATCATTAAATGGTTACAGCACGCCCACTACGGTAAGGGTGATGTGTGCATGGTCATTAATATACAGCATGTTGCATAATCAATTCACACCCTGGTGGTTTCTTAATGTGAAAACAAATCAAAGGTATGACCCTTGGGACAGAGTTGGAAAACCGAGTACAGACTTCAGTACCCCAACCAAGTGTGAAAATCTCAAGAGATACTAAGACAATTTATAATCATTACACAATATTTTATGCACCTGATAGTAATTTGCAGCAGGTTTAAATGTATAAATGTTTTGTTAAGCTGGGTATTTTTGGCTGTGGAGCTGTTCACCAAACTCATACTTACTAAAAACTGGATGACTGACTGGAAAGCCCAGCGGTTATGAGTCCTACACCTACTCTGGCTGAGTACACACTCCCTCTCTGTCACTCTGTCCCTCTCACATGCACACACACACACACCATCATATGTTTGGTGAGGTAAAGCTGTATAGTTTTGTCCATTGCCAGGAGGGTAAACACAAACACATACTGTAGAGTCTAATCTGAGAGCAAACAGCGGTGCCTCATGTTAACCAGCATGGGATACAGTTTCCCTTAACACTATGAGGCCTGCAGCAGTTAGGAGCTCACACGTCAGAAATACAGAGTGACAAAGTGTGAGAGAGCACAAGGCAGAGAGCCAACGAAGGATATTTCCACATCAATTCAACAGCCAAATAAGTTTTAAATGTGAGTTACAGTATGTTTATCCTATCCTTGTGTTTACAATGATATTTGAAAGAAAGATCATAATCTTGCATCTTACAGGGCTGCTATGATATATAGATATACAGTATATATTTTCTGTCAGTCAGCTATTTCTCACATCAGAAACTGTGTGTCATATCAAGGTCAGAACCTACAGTCACTATTGTGATAATTGCACTGGCTGCCACTTGTTTATCATATTCAGTTTAAGCTTCTTCTTTTAACTTTCAAAGTGCTACGTGGCCTAGCAGCCACCTATATAAGCAACTTAGTCTCTGATGCTACCCCACCTCGAAACCTGTGTTCTACATCCACTGCTCTTGTTGCGGTGCCAGATGTTGCAGATACAGATGTTAGTGGGTGTGGGCGATGGATCTTTGCCAGTTCTGCTGCTTGGCTTTGGAACAAGCTCCCAAACAATTTGAGGACAATGAGCTCAACCTGAAACTTTTAAAGTTCCTTTAAAGAGCCATTTTTAATGCTGACAATGTCCAGCAGTGTTACTTGACTGGACAATTTTGAACTTTTTGTTCTGATGTCATTTTAGTGTCATTTTGGTGATATTTCATTGTTGTTCTCAACTTAAACTTTTATTTCTGTATTATTGTTTAGTTTTATATTATTCTAAAGCAACCTTGCATGTTTTGAAAGGTGCTTTGAAATAATATTTATTATTATTATTATTATTATTAGCGGCTGTAACATAATTTAGCCGTACAAAAGGTCTGTTGTGTAGCCTGAGCATTAATTTGGTCAGCTGTGAATGTACTGTATGTAAATTATCTGTGTTTGCACAGTACATCATCTATAACCATCTGTATATAGTGTTTAGTGTGCACTCATTCTGCCCACTAGGCTATCCTCCAGCACCCTCATGAAAAGGAACAAATGATCATTGAAAAGGAATGGGTGATTGAAAACTACACATGATTAAGTACTTTCTCTAATATCCACTTTTGGGGTCCTGGCAGGCCTTTAGGTTTCCTGACAGCTAGAAATCAGGTGATCAAGTAGAAATGTTCCAGCCATAGCTGCCTGTTGAACAATTGTGCATCATGTTTCTTGAAGATGACTACCAGCCAGTGACTGGATGGACAACCTCCCAGAGCAATGTTAATATCAGTCTTTCATCAGAATCCATGCAAGAAAATGTTAGACATTTCCCTCAGCATCTGCAATGTATACAGATAAACATGTCACGTAAAGAGGTAGGTGTCTGACTATCCGTGATTCATGTTCTTGCTCTCAAAGTATAAAGGAAGCACCTTTAGGATTTATGCTCCGTCTTCATATGCACATACACACGTCCCCAGACAAGTGTGTTTTTGTTGAATGAAAGGCGGATAGTGCCTTATACTTTTATTCTGATGTAGTTTAATAAAGAAAGAGAGAAAACCCCTAGCAATGAAATCTGTTCCTTTGATCAAAACAAATGACAACATCATTTCATTAGGATGGATGTAGAGAACCTTTGTTTCCATCATGTGTCACAGTATATACCTGCCCCTGGGTAAAGCAGTGGCATCCATGCTCAGGAATTAGACTGAGGAGGTAAAATAGAGGACAAAGGAAATAGAGATAATGATAGAAAAGAAAGAACAGAAGACCAGAGCAGACATTGCCATAGATAGAATAAAGGCGACTAAATCCAAGAAAGCAGTCAGGGAGGGCAGATGCATAAAAAACATGGTAAACAGGCCAAATCCCAGAGCACTCAGGTCTGCAATGGATATGTCATTTTCAGTGCACACAGTACGTGTCAGTACAAGAACAGCTCGTCATATCCCAGGTAACATTTTGTTGTTGCTATAAAGTCTATCCGTTTTGTGTTTCATCAAAATGAAAGCTGAAATCACAAATCACACCAATGTTAATATGCCATGTTTGGATTCCTCCTTTACATGTGGAAAATGTTGGTTTGTTGTTTCTTTTCGAGATAAAAAGGGCTGGTGGCATTACTCCCACAGTATTTTGAACATCTGTTGGTATTGTCACACACTGCAGTAGACAACATTATTTGATAATCTGCTGACAATGAAAGTTCACAAAATTCTCTTTTGTCTGACCTTTCAAATAATATTCCATGAAAAAATAAGAAAATCACAACCCAAAACCTCAAAGATTTAAATCTGGCCTTTAGATATACACTAGCAGTGAAAGGTTTGGAAAACACTTTCCCATTCATTTCAAAGGGAAAGTTTAATTTACAGTGGCAACAGATGTCAGCTGCAGATACCAGTGAAAACCAGTTATCAACAAGAGCAGAGATCAGTGAATCCAAGGGAGGAGCACAGGTTCCTAATAAAGATCAAAGTGTCTGGTTATCTAGGACCAATAACACCGGAGGCAAAAAAACAAATATGGATAGGAAACAACAAGCCTGAGGCTTTCCACTTCATTTAAGAATTTGTCAAGAGAATTGAAGATGAAACAGTTCAAAATGAGAGAGAAGGAAAGAATGAAATCCCTAGTTTAGCATCCATGCTAAGCTGATCTAGCTGAATATTGCCAGCAGCAGCACAAGGTACGACCAAGAAAAGATGCAATGAATGGTAAGACGAACAAAGCAATGAAGATAGACACAAAAAAGAAAAGTCGTAAGGAAAGACTATATCAGCACCCAAGCTAGGGTAAACTCTAGAGTGCAGCCATCAGTGACACTTTAAAAAACTGATACAAAGCAAAGAAGAAGCTGAAAACTTCTATTTCTAGTTTTAGCTAAAGCCACTGGAAAAAGCCTGCATCAGAATCACCAAATGAGATAAAAGACAAAGAAAGAAAAATTATATTTCTAATATAGCTTTAAAATAGCTTTACATCACAGCCTTTGCGGCAGGACCCTTACCTAGGACGCCCAGTCGGTAGTTGACAGTTATGACAATCACATTCCCATAGCTGGCCAGGATGCTGCCATCAAACATATTGCCAGTTCCTTCCATGTAGGAGCCCCCGTGGATGAAAACCATCACTGGCTTAGGGCTTCCACTCTCCCTAATGTCTGGAGGGGGGAGGAAGAGAAGGAGGTGGAGAAGGCAGAAGGACTGATTAGTTGACAGACTGAAGGTGGCAATTTCAGAGATGCAATTTTAGTGCTTTAGGGAGCTTTGGCCACCTTTTTTCTGAGTAATCTTGGCACACTTGACTTGTATGTGGAGACCTTGTTAGTTTGAGGCATCAAACCATTATTTTATTTTATGTTTTTTCTTCAGGAAGGCTGGGACATGGTGGTAATTGGAAAATGTTTTATTTATTTATTAACCCATTTTAAATTCCATATAGCTGTTAATAAAACTCAATATTTAATATGGTGAGTTTTTCCTCCAGGCAATGGACTGTCAACACGCAAGAGTGGCAATCTGAACTGTCATTCCATGCTGAGGTAATACTTGTGTGATTAATCTGGGAGAAAATCTATTAAAATGGAATATTATGTTTGACAATTTTATGAGGAAGCACTGCTTCCTTAAAACTTAAATTTATGTAAATTCAGGTCATAGTTGTTGAGCTGCACGAAAGTGTTAGCCTTGATTTTGTGAATGTAAATGTATATGAGCATATATTTGCACCAGGGGAAATTAAGGAGAACTAAACACTGAATGGGTCACTTTTTTGTGTTGTTGTGATACTGTGAAGGGCAGGATGTTGATGCAGCTTTTAAATTATAGTTCAGTCATTTCCATAATTACTGTGTAAATGTAACAAGACTAGCTAAATAAAACATGGAAGATGATGAGTTTGCAATGGTAAAAATATCTATATTGACATTTTTTTCCTTAGATGAAGGAAAGTATTTTTTATATGCATTGTTGGATATGTCAAACATAAGGTCAGGGGAATGGTTAGTTGACCATTGGGAGCAAAATGAGCTGTATTAAAATGTTTTACACCTGGCTCATTAGAGTTGAATAAATGAGAGCTGCCTTAGAAAGCTTTGGCCCTTGATGTAGTTCTTATACAGGCTGTGTTGTGAGCTAAAAGGATGACGTGAAGAGATCTAAACATTCTACAACCCATATTGGGAACAGGGTTTCACTTTCATCTTCTCTATCCCAGAGACGTAGCTTTTTATCTCTCTTCCTGTCTCCATCAGTACATGCTGAAGAACACATCGTTTATCCTGCTGATGTTTTACCACTGTGGGACTCTACTGGGAATAAAACAAAATTAATGTAAGAAAACAGAAAAAAATGTTACATCTGAGATAAGAGAATATAATGACCTTCAGTTGAGATGGGAGCAAGAGTGACAGAAAAAAGTGTCTGAAAGCATGAGTTTAAAGGACTCAAATTCAGGGGACAGACAGTATAATGTAGACACATGAAGGTAAAACTTCAGCTCTGAAGGAGATTAATCACACAACAAAGGCTGCTATTAAGCTACTGTATGGTGTCGATGCACTCTGTTGTGATTAATCTACGTCATTTCAGTTAAGTTCTATATTAGGATAATAAACTGCCCAGGCAATAGTAATAATTTTGGTGGGTGCACCATCCATTTTACTTTCATTGCATTTTAGTAAAGAAAATATATTTCTGAGGAAGCAGGATGTTATGCAGCAGAACCAACTATTTCACAGTTGTTACTATATATTTGACAAGTGCTAAAAAGGTGTTTTTCCCAACAGAGAATGTGAAACTGACAAGCTTTAGAAAACCCTCCACTGGCAAAAGGAAATGGGGTAAAAAAGAAAACTAAAAACCTAGCAATAAATTTAAATGTGGCACCAAGGTGAAACATGTTTTTATGTTTGTGTGTATACTATGTTTGTCCTTTTTTCTGTCATTCTCTGTCCTTTGTGCTGTTTTTTTCCTAGTTGTGCTGCTCCCACTGTCACAGCAGGCAGTGGCCACAGTGTAGCAGCACATCATAACCATCCTCTGGAAAGTTTCCAGAAACCCCTGACAAAAAAGGTCAGGGGACTATGGCAAGCATATGTGTGTGTGAGAGACCTTGTGTTTCTATACTTGTGGAAAAGGAAACGCGGCCGCATGCTAGCTTCATAGGGACCAGAGGCTGGTCCTCACAACGTAGTTTGTCAAATTTTACTAAAACAACACGGTGTAAATTTATAGCGAGTGTTGGCTTTGGTTAAAGTCAGGGTTAGGGCAGGTCTCTGTTACGCATGCCTTCCTAGGTCCTCCCTACTCCTTACTCAGCTTTATTAATTTGTCTTTCCTTCTCTTCCGGTGGATAATGAGCAGAGTGAACACACCTGAGAGAGGAGGGGTAGTTTGAAGGCAGAGGGGGTTCAGCTGTCTGTGGCCTGTCGGCTGTTTGCTGCAGAGCTGTTTGTTAGGCTGGTGCTGTGTCATCCTCCTCACCATCACCACCTCCGTGATTTATGTTGTATTATGTTTAGTTAATGCATAGTTGTATGGAATCACTGGCAGTACTGTTTTCAGTTTGATTTGTTAGTTTACATGGTTTGGCTTTAGGTTAGCCCTGGTTGGACAGCCCACTGTCCAACTTTCTTGTTTTGTAGGTTTTGTTAGTGAATTGTGTTCTTTTGCACCAGTTAACAGAACTTTCTTGTGTTATGTGTTCCTTTGAGCCATGATTTGTTGGGACCACAACAGTCTCCCGGAAATGACTGTAAGACAATGTAGGGACCCCACAAGTAACAAAAACGTGTGTGTGGTGGTGGTGGTGGGGGGATACCTAGCAGTGCAAATATGTGCATAGCTTCACAAAATGAGAAGAGTGAAGGCAAGAGGAGCAAATGATAAAGAACAATTGTGGTAGTGGTGATGAAGGTTGTGATAATGTAAATGGTGACACTGGTGGTGGAATAGTGATTATGATTTCCATAGCAGTGGTGATTATATTGATAATAAGAATAAAGTCAGCAATATTACTGATGATTCCCATGATGGTAGTGTTGCTGTCAATTATAATGTAATAATGGTGGCAGTGTTAGTATAATGGTGATCATGGCAACGACATTAAGAGTAATGCTGATGATTACAATAGGGACAATAATGACATTTTGTCCATCACAGTGATGATGACGAGATGACAACAACCATGGTAGTGATGATGTCACAATAATTATAATTATGACAACATTAATGCTATTGCAGCTATAACAATGTTTATTAAGTGACATTTGTGTTAATAACAGTGATGATGTTGATATTGCTCCATGCATTTTGCTGGTGGAGATGATGTTGTTAATGAGAACCATGACAGTGATAATCATGATGTACTTCGAGATCAGAATCACTTCTCTGCTTTTTGCAGATGACTTGGTACTGTTGGCTTCATCAGCTCCTGGGATCTAACCAAATCTTTTAAGGTGTATTTTTCTTTAAAGAAAACAATATGGATGAGTTCTCATATCCATATACTGTTTGTAGAAGCTGAATAATATGATACTTTTCCTGTATGTGCATATCATATGAATATATACAGTAATTTCTACTGCAGTGAGATATATATGCATGCTGTTATAGCTACCTTATTTTGTTCAGTGCTGAAGGTCAGTGGTAATGAGGTGAGGTTGTGATAAAATTGTCTTGGCAATGATTGAATATTTGATGAATTTATCTAAATTTACATGGACTTACTGGCCGAAAAAAAACCTGGTGCATATCGAACACATTGTATCTTGAAGCTTTAAGTTTATGCAATCCAGCTTGCTCTCACTAAGGTTTCCCGACATCTGTCATTGGCTGCCACTGCCAAAAAAATCCTATAAACCCCAGTGCCTGCCTTCATTCCCCCATTTTATCAATTAATCCTCATTCAGCTGATTGCAGAGTTCATCCCTTTCCTTCATCCTCTTGCATGAAGTGAGGCAACAGTGTATCTGGGGTAATTTCTGCAACATCCAACTTACATGATTATTTTTAATGCGCATGTCTTTTAAATACTCTGTTTAAAGTAACTTTACATGATTTCAGTTATCAATACTGTAAAGGTTTTTCTTAAATAGGCAGGAACACCCAATTGTCCTCTAGGAATTTTTCACAGTGAGCAGCAAGATGAAAGCTTGCTTTGAGGAGAGCTAAAATGAGATCTAATGTTGTAGCGGTTCAACCATTCAGCCTTCCTAGGGACGAGTATGGGTGAGGGAGAGTTTGTCAGAAGATAGGTGCCATGCCAACAGGAAGTAGATCAACCCTCAAGATTGAAGTTATGATCAAAGAGATTCAGGTACTTTAGATTTCTCTGAGCAAACCCTGAGAGATGCCCCCAGGCTGTTGCAACCACTTTGGTATACTCTCCCTATGCCAGTGTAGAGGACTTATCAAACTAACAGCAGACACAAGGAGCAGAGATTTTTGGGCCTTTTGCTGCAGGGAGCAAAGCCATGGGGACACTCAGCAAAAGCATCAGGAAACAAAATGAGGCCCAGGGGTGAACACCAGTTCAAACACTCCCAGATGAAATGCTCTTGTATAATCTATGCAACTGTGCTGGTGTAACTTATTAGAGTACATATCCGCTGACATGAACATGAACAGGTAATAATGCAAATCTGATGGCATATTTACTTCTACAATGTGAAAATCAGTTCTTGCTTAGTTTTCATTTTTGCTTTGGAAAAAAAAGGAGCTAATATTTTTCAAAGCTGAATTTTAGGCTGAACTCATAATTGGCTTTACTGCTTTGCATGTTGTCAAACAGTATATTTGAGCTGAAATGCAAAAACATTCAAGAAGTCAGCATTGTTTTTGGTTTACCCATGACTGTGCTGTGTTCTTAATGTTAGCAAGGTATTTTCACTGACAAGACCCATACAGGCTACAGTTATATGGGTTGGTTTCTAGAGTATTGACAAGCATCGTTTTGTGCTTTACTGTGGGTTCAATATGAGTACGTGTCGGTTGCATGTCATGACAACACTAGGGCTTCTATCAAGTCCTTGCCATGTCTGCAATGTAAAGAGCAGCTCACAGCAAGTGCAGTTTATTCATCTTCACATTTAACCGGAATTTGAATTGCTCACTCAAGTGTTAAACTATTTTGCCATGATATGTAGGATTAATTCTTTCATGTTATTGCATGTGTTAATCAAATATTAATTGCTGCATTTTCATTTTGTGAGTAGTAGTGAAGGGCATTTTACTATTTCCCCATATATGTGATCTCATGCAGCCTCAGTAGTTAAATTTGCAACTGAAATGTCACCAACTGGAGCCTCTGGGCGAGCTGGGTGGATCACATTATTATTCCTTCATCAGCATGATTGTCTTCATGGTGTCAGCAAATTCTATATCTTTGTGCCCTCCACACTTAAAGTAATATCATAGTTCATAAGGAGATTATCAAGTTGCATGTATTGCTGTATACAACTGTAGATTCACTTCTTTATACACACTTATAAGTAAGTCAGCAATGTTTGGTGTTTAAAAAAAATTCTCCACTCTCAGAGACTTTCCTGGGTTACATCTATATTCCCAGCACAAAAGGATTACAAACCCAGCTTTATAGGGTATAAAGAGATTGTAAAATGCAGGATTCATCTGGTGGGAGGGGTGCAGAGGTTTGGGGATGTTTGCATTGCATGTCATTAAGTTTGCATTTACAAGGTGACAAGAGGTTAAGGGCATCAGAACTTGGGGGGTGGGATGTCTGGGGAATCTGGTAACAGTGTGAATGTGTGTGTACGTGTGCATTTTCAAGCATATTTTCCTTTATTAAACTGGATTAGTTGTCTGCCCTGCATCCTTTATCGAGATAATACTGAAGCTTGCTGGGATTTCATTGAATAGATCTGTGTGAGCTGTGTGACTCTATATAATCTAGTTGGTGTGTGTGTGAGCTCCCAGAAACACACAATGATGGCACAGATCAAAGGGATCTGCTTGCAAGTCTTATATGAATGTAATTGCTATTTACTTCGTCACATTATACTGTAGAGGTGCCTCATTAAGACTTTCTGCCTGTCATTAAAGTTGCACTGCTGGAGCCTTAAGGGGATGCAACTCAATCTCAGAGTTTTATCAAAGACATTTTATTTTTAATATGAGTCTTCAAAAGGCCCGCTTTTTATGGCTACTAAGAAAATGGTCTTCTTTTTGTATTATTGACATTAATGGATTTCCAGCACAGTGTTATATGTTCAAACGGCATCTAATTTAAATATCAAGAGCAGCAATTACAGTGTTTCCATCCTATTGTCTTTATCGATTCACTGGATCCACTGTAATACTCACTTGAGAATTAAATGCCTTAAAAGCAACAGGAGTGTGTGGGAAATGTTAAAACATTTTTATTGCATTGTTTACATGTATGTATGCAGAACAGATACCTTGGTGTAATTTAACTCCAAACATTTAACAAGACTAAATAAGGCCACAGATATGTGAAGTAACTAAAATGTCTTGCATGCAGTATAAGGTTATATATTGTGCTGCACAGTACCAATACACTGAAACACTGCAGGCATCTGTACTAGTGTGGAGTCAGTTTCCTGGTTTGTGCTTTTTCTTCTTTAAAACTTGCAGCAGTATCTATGCTACCTATTATGATCAGATTTGATAACTTTAGCACATCCTCTCTTACCTCTTGACCTTTGTTACTCATGGAGACACTAGAGCAGTGAGGTTGTTTCTGCCTCTAGAGCAGCTCTGTCTCCCAGAATGCTTGCAAAATTTAAATTACAATCTGGTGTGTAAGCAGTCCTCAACATTTCATGGCATTTACAGAGCAGGTTATCACAGTTACCATATAATAAAAGATGAGTATTCATGTTGATTGTGTGTTCTCCAAAAAGCTCTACAATGAGAGCCCCGATGATAGCTGAAACCTATAATGACACTAATGTCACTTGAAATCAACTCCACCCAAATGCTGGCTTATTTCATTATTGCCAAGTCTGTCAGGTCTTTTAGCCAATCCACATTTTATTTAGCAAAAAACTACATTGGGCAGCTTGAGATTTAGGGCCAGAATTCAACAGGTGCTGCAGGTGGCAGATCAGAAAGTTAGCTTCATATACTGGTGGGTAATAAATTAGCTTTTACTTTTCCCTGTAAGAGAGGAAATGATGCCAGGAGAGAGAACAGCCAGCACAACTGAGAGAGATGCTTACGTTAATTTTGTCCAGAGTTTTCATGTTGTTGTAGATGTGTCACATACTGTACTAAGGAAACTGGTTTGATGCCCAAAACATGAACAGGTCTAAGTGTTACTATAGCTGTAACCCAGTGCGCCAGTGGTTGATTATTGACTTGTGAACATGATCTGAGTTTATAAACAAGACGATTTAAAAGAAAAAACATGCAAAAAATGTGTTAAGAGCTGTCTGAAGGTTTAATAGTTACTTGATCTGCTGGTGGGATGCAACAGAGAAAAGTAAAGAAAAAGGGAAAGAAAACAGCAAACCCAGGCAGAGAGTTTATGTTACAGTATTAATATCAAAGAATGGTGGGAGACATGTAAACTTTAGACATCAAGCTGAAAAGGACAAAACACATCCAGCCCAAAAAAGAGTTTACGAGTAAAGAGCAAAAAGAAAATGTCCATCACTTTCAAAAAAAGGACAAGAAATGTAAGAAAATCAAAGAAGATAAAAATTGGAGGAGAAAGGGTAAGTTTGGTTTCCCTTGTCATGCAATTCACTTTGGCATTGGGGGAAAAAATACCTTCGTCGTCCGTGTTGTCACTATCACCTAAATCATCAGTGTGTTTCTTTGTAAGGGGACCTATAGGACCAAGAAGGAGAAAATGGAGGAAAACAGGGTGATCAAGAACACACACAGCCTTCAAAAGATGCTCTCAAAAGATAAGAAAGTGTCTCAATAATTAATGTTTCTATAGTCCCTTTAGTTTTGGAAAAATCTTCAGAGACTGGTTAAACATTACCATAATGGCCATTTCACATGTTTACAGTAGGGATTTACTGTATATGAGTTCATATAAGAAAGTTAAGGAGCAAGAAAAGAGGGACTTTAAAAAAAAGAGGGGAAAAATATTAGTTCTTTGTTGAAAATGAAGATTTAACTGAGGATCAACTTCTTAGGATCAAAAGACATAAACCTCTATGATACAGTAGCATCAATTATAGATATCAGACATTATGTTAACAAATGGAAATGATCAATCACAGTAGCAGAGAAAAAGGCAGTGGCCGTAAAGGAAATAGCATTTTATAAGAGCAGAGCACTCAACAGAAGCATGTGACAAACTTCCCCGTTGTATTTTCAGGGTGTGTTATCTGTGTGGGTCTAAAACCACTCACACACACACACACACACAAATATGCACATTCATTGACATGCATAAATTTGACTGCAGAGGGGCTGCTGTGAAGTATGGTGTACATTGGAAAATTTTAATGACAGAAAGAGACAGAACAGCAGATCCTGGAGACTGGGCATATTGATTTTGCCTCCAATTTCAGAAGATTGGTGTGTTGTGTTTCTACTGATTTAAAAAAGAATTTTTATTGTACAAAACCACACATACACATTAGATGCAGTTGCCACTTTATTAGGTACACTAACCTAAAACAAATGCAGCCTAATATAAAAGTCCTTGCTTGTTTATACTGTTCATTTTGTTATACTACACAGCCTTATGCTGGTTTACTGTTTACTTGCCCCTTGCATAGGGATGTGTACATGCACATTGAGGTACCAGAGTCAAATTCCTCATGTGTCCGACACACCTGGCCAATAAAGCAGATTCTGAGGTTAATCCTCTTTAAAAGGTGATCATGGTATCTGCTGTGTTTCAGTTAATTAGCCTGGATGTGTTTATATAAAAGGTGGTGGACAAAATAATAGTACAAACATGAACTATAATCTCCAAAATGATTACATAGTTAAATCAACACATCCCTCTTTAAAACAGTTTGAACATAAAGTTATCACATTCATGAAAGGAGCAGGACTGCTGTGTTAAACTCCATTAGTGTTAGCTAGGTGGACCTAATAAACTGCCAAGTGAATGCTTAAGGAAATGGTTAGATCTGCATATTCACAGAGAGTTAAGAGGGAAATATCTCTCTTGTATGTGTACAGTAAAAATAAGGCCACAGCCAGTTAGCTTACCTTAACATAGGAACTGACAAGAGTGGGAAACAGATATGCTCAACAACAGGACTCCTCAAAGTCACTGAGTCCAAGATGTAACATGTTAATTAGTGAGTCTGTGAAGTGCTGGGGTGTAGATCATGTTACCTTTTGACAATTTTCTCAGCTAGTGCTCTGCAAGAAAACTTTGTATTTCCCAACATGTCAAATGAATGTCATTTACTGTGGTTTTCTTGCTAAGTCAAACATAAGTGAACTTCAGTCTAGTTTGACAGGGAAAATCATTTTAATACAAGTTTGTACATGTTTACATAGTACCTTAAAGAAAAGTAGGCACATACACACACCCACAAAAGACAGACAGAAACATAATGAAAACATGCAGTTTGCAAGAAAGGAATGTAAGCTAGCAAGGTGTATGGCAGAAAAGTAGAATGGCATAAGCTTAAGCCTTCACACACACACAAACACACACACACACACTGTGTGATATAGACCCACCACCACATATAGTTCCCGCCAGCCCTTTCCAATTCCCTGCATTAGCCACAGTCCCAAATGGCCAGCAATTTTATGCAAATCTACTTCAATTCCATTTGACTTAACAAAATGATATAACATCAGCTTCAACATGACAAAGGTTAAAATGCACATTCTGCGAATTTGGTAAATGTTGAAAAATCGCAGCATCCTTCTAGTTAGTAGCTCATGTTGATGAGTAATAATTCCTCTATCACTCAACATCCTGGTGGTTTATTTCACGACCAACCATTTCTTTACAGTGACTTTAAAGATAAAGCCAGCTCCCTGCATATCATTCTATCCTACAGCAGTCTCCCAGCTATTTTGTGAGTCTGACAAGCAGTTTGATAAGTGAGCGCTGACTTGTGCTTTGTATGTGCTGAATAAGCACCAAGACACCAAGAATCGTTTCTTTCAAAAATGTAAAACATCTAAGGAACTATCTAGGGATGTGTTACAGTTTACAGAGTACACTGCAGAGAGAGATTGCTGTCAAAGCAATATAGTTAACCATACACTGCATATTAACCAATGTCATTGTGTTGGATCTTGTTGCCATTGCTGCCCTCCATGGAGGACCTGTACACCTCACGGGTCAAAAGGAGGGCGGAGAAGATCTCTGCAAGCTCCTCACATCATGGACACAATCTGTTTGAACTCCTCCCCTCTGGACGGCGCTACAGGTCACTGTGCACCAGTCAACCAGGCAAAGGGACAGTTTCCTCCCCCGGGCCATCACTCTGATGAACACTTGACCCATGACACTATGACTGGACAATAACCCTCAGTGCAACACCTGTAAAATACATTGCACATATAGATCTCTCGATGCACCTAGACTGTGTGTGTGTGTGTGTGTGTATATATATATATATATATATTACACATACACAGGTCTCTATAACTACTTGTTTTTGTTTCATTTTTTGTCCTAATGCACATTCCTTTTGCTTGTTTGCACATTACTTTCTTTCCTTCTATTCGCTCAGCCTTACATTGTTGACTTACCCACTGCTGCCTTACATAAGGACAGGTTTCATGGAAACCTTCAAGAAATGATTAGGAAATAGTGAACCTGTAAACTAGAGCCATACCAACTTACTGTAATGTGTTAACAGCTCAAGAGCAGCTTTTAAAAAGACACAGTTAAGAACTAAGAATTCTACACGGCCTATAAATAGATGTTTGACTAAGTGTTGAGCAACTTTAAAACTTGATAGAATGAAATAATCAAAAAAACGGTGACTGATGTGGCCACTCTGTGCTGCTATAAAAGTGGCACCTGTGTTTGACCAAGGGTTAGTGAGGATCAGAGCAGACAAGAAAGCTGCTTGACTGCTCCTACTGCATCACACACACACACACACACACACACACACACACACACACACACACACACACACACACACAAGTTCACTCTCCTATGAATACACACATATACAAAGAGTGAGAGAGACGCATAGAGCAACCAGGTGTCAGTTTTAAATTACCCAGTGCCAAGGAGGCCCTGACACTGACCTGCACTCACCTACCTGTCACTGTGTGTGTGTATGGGTTTGTCTTTATATAGTTGTGCGAGTGCAAACTCTCACACACCCTCTCACAATGAATAACACAGCAACTAGAGGCTTCAGACAGGAGGGGTTGCCTAGGAAACGGTGGGAAGGAACCCTAGTTATTTGTGTTGAGCATATTTTCATTTGGGCTGAAACAGATATAAAATCCCCAGGAGAGGTGGAGAGGTGATTTGTCCTGACATCTCCCTTACTCTCTCAAGATGTAACACAGACACGCAAACACAAACAGACATATGCATGAACACATATAAACACACGTGCACAGAGATGCAAAACCCACCCCCTCCCAAGCACATCAAGAGAAGTCAATCACTCATGCATATCATAGAAATGTCAGCAGGGAGTGTGCGTGTGTAGATGCTGTGTGGGTGCACAAGTTAGTGGATGCTCCGAGTAGATCTGCATGTGCAGTGTTTCATGAAAAAATACATCTTAAATGATTCGTTGTGACTTCTCTTCTGTCAGAACCAGAGAGCTTTCCTCTGAGTTTTGCCTCCATGCATGCTACAATATTTTTTTATCTCTGCTGCGCCGCTGCCCCGTTTAAAAACCGAGCAGAGCCGATGGAGTTTGGTTAATGATACTGTACTTCCAAGATGCAGAATTTACTCTTTTTAACTTGGTGTGTGAAGAGTTATAGCCTCCGCATCTGAAAGGCAGAGAAATCGCTGATGATTAATGTTCCTGGAGGCTGTGAGTATTTGTCTGAGGAAGGGTATCATAGCATTTACTGTAAGTGGCTGATGGGAAACATGATGCACTATTTTCCCATAAATAGTACTCCTAAAAAAAAGAAAAGGTTACATAAGGGATGTCTGTACAGAGCCTTCACCTTGAGCCTGGGGTTGTTTTGAGGGCGTCATATCCAGGCTGGCCACAGGAGGTCGCCGTTCACCAGCTGCAGCTCTCTTCTTCAGTGGGCCAACCTGTGGAAAATCCTGTCAGGAGGCAGTGTTCGAGGGCATTCACTCTCCCCTTTTTTTATATTATATTTCTGTGTCTCTCACTTCTTTTTACGTACTCCTGTGGTCTCATTTGACTGTTTTATTTGCTATATTTTTCTCACACTTTTAGTGAATCCTTGTCATCTGATTCCCTGTTGTCTCATGATCCGTCCATGCCTGTTGGTTAACCTCCTCCATTTCCCACTTGTGGCATCAGGATGGTGTATATAAACAAAAGAGAGACTGTCCTTTTTAATTTTAGCTTTTCATATATAGCAGGGAACAAGGTCCACAGTTCATCAGATGACAGTTTTGACCACCGCACTGAGGGTTGCAAGACTAGAGGATTTTTTTTTACCATCAAATCTATGAATAACGTGTCAGTACATCTGTGATCTAATGATTTTCTTAATTTCTCAGGTTGGGGGGCATGATTGCAGCCTACAAGATAGTGCCAGATGAGATTGATGAAATCAAAGTATGTATTTGATCAATCTGTCTATTTTTCTTCTGTATCTAGCTACAGTACGTGCAGTAGTGATGAGTTTCATAATAATTAATCATATGTGTGTGTGTGCCAACAGGAGACTCTGGTAGATTGGTGCGATGAAAAGGAACTTAACCT